AAGAAATTTTCCAACTTAAACATGCCCTTTATTTTCAATGATATAAGAAAGTTACTGAGTGTTCCAGTTATAAACGAACACCTAGTACCTAGTCAACAAATATTTTATTAAATAATCGAAATCAAAGTTGCACGCAAAACTCTTAGCAAAATAACTTAAAATACGCATAAAAACATATTCAAAACAGACTTGCTTGGCCGCCACGCCATATTGAGTTTTCCTCTTTGACAGATGGATTGAATTGCCTAATGAAATTAGGCATTCCAACGACCTGTCAAAAAGTGCTTTGTGGGCGGAAGTTCTTTATCCCGTATATGAGAGTATGGAATTTAAAGCTTTTTAAAGTGCATTTTGTGGTTGTTTTGTCAATGAACTCTGTTTATTTCTCTATTTTATTGAATTGATTAGTGTTTTTTATATTTAAAAATGCCACAAACGTGTCTTGTAGTTGATTGTGGAAGTAGTTTCAACAAGGTAACAAGGATGATGTCAGGCTTTTTTCATTGCCCGTTGTTTCAAAATTTTCCAATTAAAACGTGAAAATTTTTCACTACCTCTATTCCTGCATCAAAAATTAAGCCAGACTCAAAATGATTGTGAGAATCTAAGCTTTTGTAGGTCTTCATTTGCTCATTGATGTGAAATTTGTGAAAACTGTGGGTCAAAATGTCAACTGAACATTTTTTCAAACTAACCGTTCGCCCACATCCCGATTTTCCTGCATTTAAGTCTTTAAACATTCACTCTGCATCTCAAAAAGTATATTATAACAAAGTAAACTGTAATTAGCTTGAAAAAATTCCAAATAAACTCAAGATAAACAAACAAACGTCAAATTTTCCACGCTCGCCATATTGAAAAATCACGTGATTTGGAGAGCCTAATACACATTGACATTGACAAGCAAGCAAATGTTGGCGGGAAAATTAATGTTTTCATGCTTATCGTCCATCTCTTTTAATTGAAAACGTCAATTCAATGCTTTACCTGTATTTTGGTGCCAAACGCCTGCCAAAAACTTGGCTTCACTTAAGTTTGTAAGCAGAATGGCCGTAGGACAGCGCTTTACCTGCTCTAAGGTTTGCCCCCATTGACATTAGTATACTGTCAAATTTTCAAAAAAATTTTACATGCAGTTTTTCATATATAGATCAGTTTGGTTCCCGGTGGGACACCCTGTACAATACATAAAAATTCTTATAAAATTTCTATTCATTGCATTGTGAAGAAAAAACCTTCTGATTTGGATTTTTGAAAACTTCGAAAAATCATGTCTCAAATTCTATTAGAAAGCTGAAATTACCCCCCTCCCTTTGGACTTGAATGTTTGAAAACTGAAAAATCATAACTTTTTTCTGTATCGTAGATAGAAAGCTGAAATTTTCAGCGATTTTTTTGCAAGTTTTCTGACATCCTTTTTTCGAAGATTTCGGCTTTAAATCCCCCGATAAATCACTGTATGGAGATTCTGGGATAACATTTTATCGTTCAAAGTTCAAATCTTCACATAAAAAAATTTGAAATTGGGCCATTTTGGAAAAAAGAGCACGAGGGGCCAATCGCTGGTGGAATTTTTTGTACACGCAAAGTGCATTTTTTGGAATTTTTTGCACTTTTTTGGAATTCTTTGTGGAATAAATGACATTTTTGTGGAAACATTGGCATTTTTTGTTTTTACAAATTTGGCCAGCAGAAAAATCATGAGTTGGCATTTTTATGGATTTTTTTGGCCTTTTTTGGAATCGTTTGGAATTTTTTTGGAATTTTTTGAAATTATATGGCATTTTTTGGATTTTTTGGCATTTTTTGGCATTTCTTGGACTTCCCTGGAATCCCTTGTACAAATTTGGCCAGATCAACCCTCAATTCGATCCACAAAACTAAAAATAAAAAAAAATATCTATACACTAGTATGATTGCCACATATAAGTTTACTTAACAGTCGCTGGCCATGTTATCAACTTGACCAATAAATGAGAACATGAAAGCATACTAAGTTTCCAAAAAGTTGTTATGTTTTATGGATAGTTATGACCAGCCTTTGCTTATCAAATAAATTCAATAAAATCAAATTAAAACTGTATGAAATTACAGGTTTGGTCAAATGGTAGGAGTACACAAGAAATATAACGAAAATTCTTAGTAAAAATATGGTAAAAATTGGTGAAAAATTGATCAATTTTTCACGATGTAAGTGCATACTTATAAAAGTTATTGAAGATATGAAATAATAAATTCAATAAATCCGGTACCAGGAATCCGAAATTAAAATTTTAGATGGTTACCGATCATAGAAGAGATTTAATTTAAAAAAATGGACAAAAGGTAATAATGAAACTCTATACAAGCCTCAATTCCAATAAAAACTTTGGAGTACTGTAGCCGTCCATTTTCTGTTACTCGGCGATGGAAGTGGCAGACTCTATAGTTTAATCAAATCCAAGCGGTAGTAATGATATTAACTGGTAATTTTCATTACAGCCTATCAAATGTCCTCCATGCATGCGCATTGGTCCTGGTAGGGCGTTTCAACCAATAGGAAGGCTGTATTACCAGCCGGTGTTTGTTTACAATTTAGGTTATTTAATGTCATTGTTGCCGCTTGGATTTGATTCAACTATAGCCTTGAATCAAAGTACATAGAATATAGACTAGAGGCTAGAAGTTCACAGTCTTGGTCAAATGTTGAGGGACAGGTATCACTCCAAAATCTCTATGCCCATGCTCCAGTCAAAGATCTGCCTGAAAAAATGTGGCTCCACTAAAATGGAGGTTCTTTGGAAATGGGGGCTCTTCGAAAGAGCCACGAGGGGGTTCGAAATTCAAACTCAAGACCTTCGATATAAATGTTTTGGTAATTAACAGAATATTGCCTCACGTAACTTTATTTCGGTAAACTATTGCCTGATGGGCGATAAAGGTATTTCTTTGCACAAGAACGGTAATCGATATTGGACTTGGGAAGATGGCGGTCCCCAGGCCAGGCTCAACATTTCGGGTCGAACGAAGAAATCAGCGAGTAGTGATTCCAGAGCTCCCTTCTAATTAAGAATGAACGTGGCACAGGAGGTACTAACTAATCTTTTGAAAATTACTGAAAAGCTGGAGATACAGCAGAATATACACGATACAAAATAGTAACGAACCTGTGATCAGTCGCCAAAAAAAAAAAGAACAGTAGCAATTAGCATGCTACAAAGTCTGAAGTGTAGATTCCGAAATCATTCTTTATTCCTATTATTATTATATTATCCACTCCTCTGCTTTTCTTCGTCTGTTGCTTTTTCTATTCCGTATGTTTCCAATGGGGATTTTTCTTTTGATCCTATATGTGTTTTCTTTATTCTTCTCATTACTGCTTTGACTGCTTGTCTCAAAGCATCTGTTATTTTCTTTTCAGTTGTTCGATTGTGTAATTTTCTCTTATTGTGTAGCTCTTGCTGATGTTCATGGTGGTTTCCAAAAGTTATCGGACTATTTTCAGTTCATTCTCCTTCATTAGCTTTTTGTGAACCTATTCATGTATTCCTGTTCTCTTTCTACTTGAAAAATGTGTTCATAATATATAAGTTACGACTTTCACTGAAGCTTGTCAGAGTTTGTCCCCTTCATTTCGTTGACCTATTTCAGAATGTTTAACAGAATCTTTATTATGTTTTGTTTTCTTATGCTTTGTTAGATTCTATTGATTTTGATATATTTTCTTAAAATTTCTTGATCCCCTTTACTGTTTGATGTTAGTGCATCAAGTATCGTTAGTGAAATGGAGCGTAGTTTCCTACGTATGTGTCTTTTTAGTTTTTTTATAAGGACATCAACTTTTATGATGTTCGTGTTGTATTCTTTCATGTTTGGTATATAGAAAAATGTATTTCGTATACTTAATATTGTGTAAAGATAGATCATGGAAGCAAAGTTTGCATAAGAATAGAGATGAGAATTGTTTAGAACGTAAATAGTTGTCTCAATTAATATTACTTGAAATGGAAACATGGGTACGAATAATATAGGACATCGATTTGCATTTGTAGGCATTGTGAAATTATCATCAGGACATCTGAATAAAGTAACTGACAAATATGTCCTTGTTTGCAAAGCAAAGTGAATGAACAAAAGAGAATCGGAAGAAAACAATATTTATACATAAATATTTAACATTCATTCCAGTCACTTCTATTCCTATTTCAAAAATTCTCCTTTACAAATTTAAAACTATGCGCAAATCCTCTACACATTTATCCTTTGCCTTTCTATTCGCAATACAATTATCTTCCCATAAATATCCATTTAACTCCCAGAAATGCTTGTTGTTAGCGCATCAAAGGCTTCACAATAGGCAGAAGCTAAGCTTTAAGCACCCCTACAGCGATCGCTCTATACACCAAATAGCTTCGCTACGTAGAACTGCGGTATTATCAAATTATCTCGATCCCGAGACACTTACGCAAATCAGTTGGCAATTTAGCAATTAAGGACCCGTGTTATTCCTATTAACACTGTTCGGAATTCGGTAAAAACTACGGTTTAATTAACAATATCCGATTTTAATTTTGGCGAAATGTTTGTGGTCGGCATAATGGATTTTTGATTATATAAGTGCTCGTGACACGAAAGAGGAAATTGCTGGAGGCGCCAACTGGTCGGCCAAATATTTAATTTGGATTTATAGCTAAGTGGCTAGAGCGCTTCTTACGTTTATTGCAATATACTTTTTAGGGTTTTGTAAACTTTAGAAAAGCAATAAAGATTTTTATCTGGTTACTTCAAATTTTTAAAATAAATGAATTTCAATTTTGTGTTAGGTAAAGTCTGTCGATTTTAATCTGATACTTTAAAGGAATGCGAGCTGGTGGCTCCCTACATTAGAACGCCAATGGTCACCTGATGTCCTACACCTGTTTTTGCCATGTAAATCACCCCCTCGCTCCTCATACGGAAAGTGTCAGATTAAAAACGACGGACAATAGCAGTTACATTTCACACCTAATTTTTGTACTTACCTGCAGACATTGTAGCTATTTCTTTGGCTTCACTAGTCAATATCAAAAAACACTAAATTTTGCACTATTTCGGTTTGCCATTGTTCACCATTAGCTTCTGAGCTTCATCTCATTGAACAGATCCGCCTGAAACAAATTGAAGCGTTATTTCAAAATACATTTTTATTTCAAGACGATATAGTTTAAAATTAACGACATAACTGTGCCATAACCTCAATTTCCGCTCTCGCTTTGCGTTATATATTACAATTTCAACGGTACTTGACAGGCCCTAAATCAAAATGCAATTCGCAAGGCGCGATAAAAAATATTGGATCCCATCGAGCGTTCCAGGCCACTAACTAGATATTCAAAAGCTAAGGGAACATTTTTCACTGTTTTTGTAGGTTCCTATAGCAGCTTGTAGGAAGATAGGATTATGATTTTTGATATTCATATTTTTAGTGATATTTTGAAATAAATGAACTGTGAATTCTGATCTTGAACAAACATTTGTTCGCTCTACTTTCATTTTCGATGTCCTACAAGCTTGCGTTTATTCAAATTCTATAACTTGACGAATATTGGGTGGATCCATAAATTATTCATCAATGGATATTTGCTCAGACAATATGTCCAAGTCCACACGTTTGCCCTCAAATTGTGAACCAAGCTATGTTGAAACTGGCGGAAAATTTCCTATTTTGGCTTGGAAAATGCAGATTAATGCTAACTAGGCAGTCATTTCGGCTAATAGCTAAGTAATAGTCAATAATTTTACATGAACCAGGCTTAATTTGATTTTAACGATGCAATATCCACTATAAAATAACAAAACGCAAAATACAAACAATGATGCTTTCAGTTACAGGTAGATCCACACTCGTATTAATTTCTGGTATCAAGTCCGCATAAATTTGAGTAAATGGACAATATACGCGGATTTAATGGACAATGCGAACCATTGTTTAAGGGCGACATAACTTTGGCATTGCCGAGCATAAACAGGATAATCAGCAAGATAAGTGAGTTTGGTACGCTCGCGATTCTTAAAATAAACGCCCTGCTTTATGGCGAATGGTTAAGGTCTTTTTATGCTTTTTGGTTTAGTGATTTTTAAGGATCAAGAAAAATGCTTGCTACCTGTTTATGCAGAAGAAAGTTATGTAATTTTATAGCTTAATGCCATCAACATTTAAATCTTTAGTATGTTTTCAAAACGTACATAAAGTTATTCGAAATATTTCATGATGATTGAAATTTATAGCTCATAGAATTTTTGCTATCCGACTTACATTTTCGAGCAAAGAGATAAATCTAAACTAAATTGTCGACGATCTTCTACCCAATTTGCATTTGATAGAAGCGATTTCTCGAAACGTAAATCAGTATATTGGACATATTCTCACATATATGGTTGCAGCTACATGCTATCGACACTTCTAGCGAAATTTAAGGGGCGCCAAATTTATTGGTTCATGCTAAATGTAGATACAGCAGCACTATCCTACTTTGAGGATGTAACAATGGTTTTTGAAGTTCGCGAACTTCGAAAAGTTAGATGAATTTTATGAGGAGGTAACACTGTGTACACGAGAACAAAACAGAGTACACACTAGTTATATGCGAGATTTAAATTCAAACATAGGCCAAATTCTGACATGGTACAAGAAATGAAAGAGGCAACATGCTAACCAACTTCTTAGAAAGGAAGCAACTCTTTGACACATTCTTTAAAAAGAGACCTAACAAAAAATGAATATGGGAAGCCTGGATGCAAAGACAAAAAATGAAATAGGCTTTATACTAACATCATTCACATAATCCAAGATGTAGACGTTTCAGGCTCATTCACGACTGGAAGCAATTATAAAATGATGAGATGTAAAATAGAAATAAATGGCAGACTAGAAAGAGCAAAGAAATTCAACCGCCCCCAAAAGAAGTTAAGCCCACATACCAGTAAAACAAAAAACAGAATTCGAACATTATTGACACAAAAACTCAAGAAAATCCACATAAAACCCCACGAAGACATAAATAAAATTAATAAAATAATAAGGAAAACAATAAAATAAACAGGAGAAATATCATGAAACCAAAGGGTAGGTCAGAAGAAAGTAGCAAAGAAACAGAACAAATGCTGGAGAAGAAAGGAGAACTCATAAAACAAAGAAAAAAAGATACACCAAAATACGGAAAGACTTACAAAATAGCCAGAAGGATGACAAAACAAAACATTAAAAACTACCAAGAAGCACAAATCGAAAAATTGATGGAAAAAAAAAGGCTTACACGTTTTCAAAGGTGAGAACGCACACAAAAGAGACATTACAAAGCTGATGGACAAACAAGGAAACATTATAGAAGACAGAGATGGAATATTGCATGTGGCGGAAAGTTTCTATCAGGAACTATACGACGCAAAGAGTAACAACGGAAATAACAAACAAGAAACCGAAAGCGAAACATCCAAAATTCTAGATATTGGACCAGAAGAGATCCCTCATATAGAAGAGTAAGAAATTGCAAACGCGCTAAGCCAATCAAACAACGGAAAAGTCCCAGGAATAGACGATATACCAGTGGAGAAAGGAGATCCATCAAATCTTGAAAACAATAGACCCATAACCATCAGATATATGAAATGTTTATGAGAATAATCACCAACCGTCTAGAAAGGAAATTCGATTATTACCAACCTGAAAAACAAGCAGGCTATAGAAAGAGCTACAGCAGTATAGAGCAACTTCACACAATGAGAATACTAAATGAAAAGACGACCAAATATAACATTACAGCATGGCTAGCATTCATCGATTTTTAGGAAAGCCTCCGACATTATCGAATGTCGAATTCTGGAATTCTAGGCGAAAGAAAGATCTATGAGAAATGCACGAATATATACAGAGGTATATAAACAAAGCAACAGATATAAAATTAACAATGCATGAAGATAAAAACGAAGTGAATATCAAGGCGATATCACCTAAGCTGTTCACCCTACTCTTCGAAGATGTGTTCAAGGAACTACATTGGAAAAATAGAGGGTTCAATATATTTGGAGAAAACCATATTTTTAAGAAAACCTCATTAATTTGAGATTCGTTGATAACATCGTAATATTCGCCCCAAATGAAAAAGACTTAGATATCATGTTGAAAAAACTACTCCAAGAAGACCGGATTAAAAATGAACATATAAGAAACAGAGTTTTTGACAAATGAGCAATCAGATAGTGAAACAATAACCATAGAAAAGCAACAGGTGAAGAAAGTTAACTCCTACAAGTATCTAGAACAGGAAATAAAGCTTGTTAAAGTCAATCAAGAGCTTGAAATCATTAGGAGAATACGACTGGGATGAGCGGCGTATGGTAAACTGCGCCACATATTCCGGTACAAGTTACCTTTGAAGCTGAAAACTCAAGTCTACAATGAAAGTATTCTGCCAGTAGTTGCCTATGAAACCAAAACATGATCTCTCACAAGGAAAATCCTGAATAAGCTGAGTACATCAGAGAGCAATCGAAAAGATAATGATGGGTATTATACTCAGGAATCAATGAAGCGTCGGCAGACCTCAACAACGCTGGAACGAAGACATCAAGCGAACAGCAAAACTGAACTGATACCAGGTCGTACAGAATAGAAATATCTAACAAAATCTGAGAGAGGCCTATATTCAGAGACTAAAGAGCGGGTAGGAAAAAGAAGAAACTTTATTTGACTCGCGGAAACCTGGATATTACATGTGAATTTCCTCTGTTATTGTAACTTGCCTTGTGTTTTACTATGTGTATGTTTGCACTTGCTATCTTTCCTCATAGTCTTCCAAACTTTGAGGTGGTCTCCTTTCTTTTCCACGTTAACGAAAGACGCAGGTTTGTTCAACTTGGTTTAATGATGAAGCGGGATGAATTAAATCCGGTGTGCCAAAATCGGGTGTTTCAAAAGTTCAAAAGCTCTATCAGGTTTTTCCAAACTTCTTTTGCAGTTTTGGCCGACTGGACCTGAACATAATTTACTGGTTCTAGGAGTAAAATTATCTTTTTCCACGTCTGCTTCTGTACCAGTCGGCAGTCCCAAAGTTCTTCGTATTCCAAATAAGTTTTGACCGTGAATTTTCAGTCGAAGTTCTCTCTTTCCTTCTTGAGATGATTTTGAAATTAAAAGGCAGCTGATTATAGATCTTTACGCTATTGAAAATTATTGAATTTTGCACCAAAGCAGAATGGGGGGTCGGAAGACGAATGTCATGCCTTTGGCGAGTCAACCAAGCTATCTAATGAACAGGAAACATAGCAATGTTTTTGTGCGAGCTTACGGTCTCCAATATAAAAAGGCAGGGTATGTTAGAATTTCATATTTTGTGGAAAGCGGCCTACAGTGATCTCTATGCAGTGTAACGTATTGCACGTTTTTGTAGTTTAAAAACAGACTGAAACAGAAACTTAGTGATGCCGCGAGACTCGAGACTGGTCTCGTCTCGTCTCATCTCGTCTCATCTCGTCTCGACTTTTCGAGACGAGACTGGCTTTTGGCCTCGTCTCGTGAAGTCTCGACGAGACGAGAGCAGACTCGGCGAGAGTCTCGTGTAGTCTCGAGATTACACTTAAAATTTTTCTTTCATAGCTTTATTATTGGACTATTCTGGGCTATTTGAATATGAAATCAGTAAATTAAATACCACCGTTACTCTTTGCTGTGATTTTTCACTAATTGGTTTTTCACTGTGGCAGTTTGGACTTCCGTTATAATATAGAAATAAAAACCATAAATACAGGGTGTCCGAAAAATAGCGTAAAAGCTCTCCACGTAGTAGGGGACCCTTTGAGAAACCCTAGAAAAATAATTAAATTAATAAAATCCTCCAGCATTATTCTTGGTAATATGAAGAGGTAGATATGAAAATTCGCCTTCGAATTCTTCAGATAATTACATGGGTATTTAATTTAATTCTCAGACATATTGTCAACGGGATATTTTCAGTGTCGCCAATTTTAATAAATATTAAAATGCAAATAACTTTCTTAAGAATGCCACTAGATTTTTAAAAGTATTTTTCTGGGATTCCTTGTAGGTTCCTCCACCACGTAGAGAAGAGTTTTTACGCTATTTTTTGGACACCCTATATAACTCGAGACC